GCTCCGATACCAAATGTTGGGGGAGAAGCAACAAGTAGGATACGACACCTACAAGGATCAACTTCAAGACAACCAACCAAACACTTGACCCAATTTACCACAATTGATTAACCAAGCACACAAAATCAGCAACACATCAAATAAACCACAATAAAATATGAAGAATAAAGATGCAAACGACACACGATTTTTATACGTGGAAAACCCCTTCGATGTGAAGGATAAAAACCACGGGACTTATAGGGAGTCCGCCCTCTTCATCTCTTATTATGCAAATTGAGGGTAAAAACACCCAAACTCAGTCTACAAGGATGTCACAGCCCACCAACAACAACATACATAAGAGCCATCAACAATAGAGAAGGAAAATCAGGATTATCACCCAAAAATGCAGCGTCGCACCAGCTGCGATTACAGAAGATCCGTAGCTCCGATTAATGTGAAACTTGAACAGATTGAAGCCCAAAGTGTTGGGGACAACCTCTGAAAATTTCAGCTCAATCCAACGGTCGGATCTCCGGCGATGATCGAATTTGTGCGGCTGGTCTGTAAATTCTGCACCAGCACCTTTCCTCTCTATTCTGTTTTTTTTTCTCTGTGTGCTCTCTCTGCTCTGTTCGTAAGCACTACCACTGCCCAGCCCTTCTACTCTCTTTTTTTTAGTCAACAAAGTAAAAACATAATTGGGCCCTCCACCAAAGAAAAAAAATGGAACCCAAATGAAAATGGGCTGGACCCACAACAGAAGCCCCCTTGGTGAGAAGGGACACTATGATTGATGGCTCTTTACGCATTGTCCCAACATGAAGCGCGGTGTGTCCCCTCGCATTGCGAAGGTTCACGTTGGCTAGACCTAGACCGACAATCTCGTGAAAAATGTTGGGGTCACAATATGAGGCAGCATAGTGAAGCGCACATGCCCCGTCTAGCGTCACATCAGATGACTCGGCAAGGAGAGGATTGACCAATTCAACATCGTCCGAGTCCAATGCCTTCTGTACGGGACCACGGTTTTACCCCTCTCGTTCTCCATGGCCCCCCGCTGCAACTTGATGCGCTCTGCAACCTCACGAGGAACCCCGGAGAAGGTTTCAAGATCCGGTTGCGCCACCCTGTCCATGCATTCGTCAAGAAGGTGATTCAGTTGGCAATGGGAGGAAACACTGAGAATGGGGATCAAGTCATCAGCCACGACTCTTCCTACGAAATTCAGAAGCCGCCTCTGCAATTCAGCAACAATAAAATCCAAATTCAAAATCACTCACACATTCATTCTCCTCCTCTAATAGCAAGCCATGCTACAAACAAACCCACCAAGGTTGACACCATTCGTGTCTTACAAAACAATCACTCCCCGTGCGAAAAAAAAGCCTACGGTGTCGAAGTTGGTGGGTTTTGCTCCTCTAATTCGCTGCCAAGCACAACAAAAGAGCTTGATGTACTGTACCTGGAAAAGCGAAACAAGCTCGGGTACCTAAAACGCAGAAGACACAATCATCATCTCCACAACGAAATTAAACGCGGGTCTGCAAGAATCGTGTGGGCACAGAGAGTTGACACAAGTAGACACCTCAGGTGGCGAAGGCTTCAGCTTCCCGGTGTACAGATAGGTCAAGAAACAAGCAAATGCCTCGCGACCCACCTTACCAGCGCCGGGCAGCAATTCCTCCAAACAATACCTTGGTCTAACACTGCTCTCCTTCCCAATATTCCTAAAAAGCCCATGGAAAACCCTACTCCTAGCAGCCAAACTGATCATCTCAAGATAATAGGAATCTGGGTCGGATCCGTTTGGACGTTTGGTGTTTCTTGCCTTGTTGGGGAAGATGATGTAAAGCTTATGGATGATGATGATGATGATGATGGGTCCAAAGAACTGGTCATATCTCAAATCCTCAACAATAAAATCCCAATTCAAGTTTCAGAACTCCCCAAATTTGATCATATGAATGGTTGAAAATACTCCAGAAAGAAAAAATCAACCCTGCATCGAAGTCAACCAACATGTAAATCTTTGAAGATTCAAGCATATGCACAAAGAACAAGATTCTCAAACACTGAGAAAGAAGATTGATCCAGAGATTCTGAGCAATACCCTCACCGTAGTTTTTGCCAAATCAAAAAGAAACCCATCAAAGACACGACTTTGGAAGACTTTAAAACCATCAAAGGGAGAGTAAAAAAATAATGCTCCCCGCCGCCTCCATGACGGGGAAAGATGGCCCCCGAGGCGCGAAGTTGCGTGAATAGTGCATATATACGTTCGTGAGGGGCAATTTTATAATATCGGTAAGGTATTTAGTCCGTACCGATACTATACCAAATATATCGGTTTGGTATGAAATTTTACATCGTAACGATCCCGATCCCGAAATATCGATTCGATATGGTTCGGGATGGTTCGGTTTCGGTAAAATATTGGGGCGAATATATATACTTACCTAGTTTATATTTTGGAATGTACAAAACTTTTTATTTAAAAAAAATCGAAAGTGCATTCAAATAAAAGTAAGATGAACAATTGGAAAATGAATAATTAAATGCAAAAATACTTATAAAACTTAGTTTAATTTATATTTCATATTTTACAAACAAAAGAGAATAAAGGATAAGAAAATAATATTTCAAATAGTGCGTGGTTAAATTTTGTTATATAAATATACAAAAAATAAAATTCAAATAAATGATTATACAAAATAAAAGATTATTTGTAATTCATCTACACTTGAACCAACTTTTCAAAATCAATTTATTTTTGAATGAAGAAATTTAAAAACATTGTTGTTTTAAGAACGTATTTGTATATATTTTCGGTTCGGTATGGTACGGTTCTTTTTCGGTATTTTATCGGTTCGGTATTTTTCGGTTCGGTAATCTCGGTTTTTTCGAGAAATTTCGGTATCGGTTTGGTACGTGCTCACCCCTACTCGCCTCTTTGTGGAATTGGGTATATGCTAAATGGTACGGAGTAGTATTTTGATTTAAAGCATTACACAAGTATATAAGTGTGTACAAGTCTTTACTCTTTTAGTCAAAATGGTGTTACCAATTTTGGTATCTCAAGCACAACTAATGAGACGATTGAGACATGGGACTACGTTACACTCTCAATTTTTTAAGAGTTTTTTCTTTACATATATCGACCCAATATACGCAAATACGGAGTACTATGGTGGACCATAGATGCACCTAGCATCTATGGATGATGGTAGTAAGCATTTTCTTACTTTCCTGATTAACATTTTTATTTTTATTTACAACAAAAAATAAAAGTAAAAAGTTAATGTAAGAAGGTACATGTTAGTTTTGGGAACAATATTTGGTGAAATAAAGTTATATACTTCTGAATAGAATTATAATAGAGGACAAGACAATATATGTATAGGAACCTAGCCACAAGTTGAGAACTCTAATTCTACTAGGAAAACAAACTTTACAAGGAAACAAAATATTCTACCATAATTATATCATTTCGTTATTATCATTCCATAACCCCC